TATTGGTGGGAGCTAAAAATAAATAAATTAATTCACTCACATACACACACAAAAAAAAACCAGGCGGTGGGGAAGAAGATATAACAACTACAATTTTTTGAAGTTGTTACAACAAGCAAACGGAAAGGACATTGTTGGGTGGGAGCGGGGAGAGGGAAGAGGGAGGGAGTTTTCGGTGATAGGCCATAATAATCAACTACATTGTATATTGACAAAATAAAAATTAAAAAAACAAAAAGAAAGAAAGAAATATGCTTGCCTTACCTACACTCACTATATAGTAACAGAACTGGATGACAGAACTTTAGAAATGGGAAAAATCTTGAAAGATCACCTACTTCTGTCTCTAAGTGCATAGATGGGGAAATAGAGGCCCTGAGAGGGACATAATTTGACCATCCTCACCCAGCTAACTGATTTCACAGCAAATAGTCAAGTCCAGGCCTCCTGATGTGCAGTGAACTGCTCTTTCTAGCACAATACTGTTTCATTTTAAGAGATGGCCAACCTTTTTTTCCCACAGATGCTCCACTATTAACTTCTCAGCCCTAAAGCAGAGATATTTTATCTATTTTAACCTAAACACATGTCAAGTGCAAGTACACTTTAGTGCCATGACTGGACCACAAACCTGTCGCTCTTCTTTTGTTTAGCACTTGGATAATGGCCACTAAAAACACAGGTCATTGCACTGACCATATGGAAAATGCACCCAATCATCTCTCCATGGTAAGCATGGTGGAAGAGTTGAACCATCTCTACTGGGAACAGAGTCATAAAATATATTATTTGTGGATTGGGAATTAAATAACAGAGTTAAAGCAATATTTGTATTAGAGTGTGATAAGGTCTATCAAAGCGAACAATTCCCAGATAAGAAAGTACAAAGTAGATTTCAGTGACTTGAAAGCTGTAATTTACAATCCAAAGGCCACAGTGGAATTTAGCAAAAATAACCACCAACAAAGCATTTAACATGATTTTAACTCTCAGGATTAAGCGACAGACAAACACCAGAGTCAGCCCTCTCTGCTGGGCAGCCTGGAACTAAGTAAAGAGGTAGGGATAATAAGTCAGCGGGGAAATATGTCCAGTGTTTTCTGGGGTGAGCATTAAATTCCCCTCCATCCCTGGGCAGGGAAGGGAGAGGTGAGGTGCAGCTCTGCCCATTACTGTGCACAGCTAGGAGCAGGACTCCTGGGACATGCCAGTTGGTTTATTATTTTGCCTTGCACCCCAGACTCAGAGAAGAAAGAAATCTAAGAAGGGGTTAAAGGATCCTCTTTAATTCTCTGTGAAATTAAGTGACTCAAACACATTAAAATTATCCAGCTTTCAAATACAGAACAAAATATAACATTCAAATACAAAACAAAACAATAAAATTTTTAAAAATCCTACAAACAATGCTGGCCGGTTAGCTCAGTTGCATAGAGCACAGCCTTATAACATCAAGGTCATGGGTTTGGATCCCCATAAGGGCCAGCTGCCAAAAAAAATTTTTTAAAAACCCTTCAAACAAGTTGCTTGGTAACCATGAAATTATTAAATTACTATTTAAGTAATTAGACTAGAAAAGCAAACAGCAAACAACTTGGGAAAGACAGAGGACTGCTGTTAATCCTCCTCCTCCCAAATCACCACCGCTTTTACTACCTGGTCATAAACAGAATCTAAACTTATGTAAATCAGAGCCAGGCAGTCCCAGATCTACCACATACAAAGTACACACGCACTTAACCTCTCTGAGTCTCAATTTTGTCATTTTTAAGGTGGTGATAAGCTTACCTTGAAATATGGTTGTTAGTACTGGAGTCTTCAAAAAAGCCATGGAAAGATTTGTATTATCTTTTCATTACATTTTCCATGATCTCTTTGAAGTACTCTTGTATTATATGAGAAGGTGCATATGAAACTTTTGGCCAACAAAGGCTCTTTCAAAAACCAAGCTTCGGGCCGGCCCGGTGGCGCACTGGATAGTGCGCCGCTTGGGAAGCGC